TGTTGTTGCTAGCAACACAAGCACCAGAGTGCACCACTACAATGTGCTCTTCTTGGTATGGGTACCATGGGTATCTCATGCACCCTATGTAATATGATTCTCTGTCTCTCTGTCTTTCTCCAGTGTATACATACAGCCTCACGAAGAAGAATTTTACCTCGAAGTCTTTTTTCATTTCTCCGAGACTACGGGTCCTTACATATGTACTCACCTAGTTGAGGTTGCAGGGGTCGAGTCCAAGCTCCTGGCCCCGTGTTTGTATATATATATATATATATATATATATATATATATATATATATATATATATATATATATATATATATATATATATATATATATATATATATATATATATACACAATAAGATCACAGTAAACAGGTGATTTTAAAATATGCAAAACAACCACTGTGAAAAAATAGTGAAATTCCAACCGCTTTCGTGACTTCTCACATTATCAAGGAACAACATAGTTCCTTGATAATGTGAGCAGTCACGAAAGCGCTTGGAATTTCACTATTTCTTCGCAGTGCTTGTTCTGCGGAAAGGATATATATATATATATATATATATATATATATATATATATATATATATATATATATATATAATATATATATATATATATATATATATATAATATAATATCCTTTCCCATTTCGTATTAAAGCTGATTACTTCCTATTGCCCTAGCGGGTCTTACGCTTCTCTGTTAATAAAATAATAATAAAGACTTTTAACACCAATGGCATCAAAAACATGTCTCATAGGTAGACGAAATTAAGAAAATATTGATACCAAAATACATAAATTTTTTAATGATACCTACACAAAATACTGATAACAAATAGTTAACCCATAATAATAATATAATAATAATAATAATAATAATAATAATAATAATAATAATAATAATAATAATACCAAAATACACAAAATACTTAATGATTTCAAAATATACAAAATAATTACTGATACTAAATACACAAAATACTTAAAATAAAAATAAACTACAAAAACTAAAACAATAAAATATTAGAAGTTATCATGCAAGAATAATACCACGTGCAACATAGCAGTATCATGCAGGATCATGCAACCACATCACCACAAACTTCTCACTGATCAACCACACTACCACAGCTCTAATCTCACAACAGAGTGGAAAAGTAATGTGAAGGACCTGGGAGTGGTAATGTCTGAGGATCTCACTTTCAAGGACCACAACAATGCCACTATCACATCTGCGAGGAAACTGACAGGATGGATAATGAGAACATTCAAGACAAGAGATGCCAAGCCAATGATGATCCTTTTTAAATCACATGTTCTCTCTAGGCTGGAATATTGCTGTACAATAGACCCCGGGTTGTCTTCAAGAGGGAGCTGGACAGATACCTAAAGTCAGTACCGATCAGTCGGGCTGTGGTTCGCACTTTGGACTACGCGCGGCCAGCAGTAACAGCCTCGTTGATCAGGCTCTGATCCACCAGGAGGCCTGATCGTGGACTGGGCCGCGGGGGTGTTGATCCCCGGAATACCTTCCAGGTAGACTTCAGGTAGACTACCACAAACTACTCAATAATCAGCTACATCACCACAAACTACTTAATCAACCATACCACCACAAACTGCTCACTGATCAACCACACAAGCACATGCAACCCACTGATCAACCACACAAGCACAAACTGCTCACTAATCAACCACATCACCACAAACTACCCACTAATCAACCACACAACCACAAACTGCTCACTGATCAACAATATCTCCACAAACTACTCATCAATCAACCACACAACCACAGACTACTTACCAGTCAACCACACCACCACAAACTACTTAATGAAAACCCAAAAACTAATTAATCCTACTTAAATTATCAGATAAACCACAAGACATTTAACTGCTACACTGTTAAGCAAGACCAATCACCGTGTTGGGGAGAGAGAGAGAGAGAGAGAGAGAGAGAGAGAGGGAAGAGAGAGAGAGAGAGAGGGCAGAGAGAGAGAGAGAGAGAGAGAGAGAGAGAGAGAAGAGAGAAGAGAGAGAGAGAGTACAAGGGTTGAAGAGGAGAGTGTGTGGGAGAGAGAGAAATACACACATCTCAGTATACATCTGGAGTGTTAGGACACATCAGAGAGGATAAACATCTGGAGTGTTAGGAACACCGTGAGGTTGAACATCTGGAGTGTTAGGACACATTAGAGAGGGTAAACATCTGGAGTGTTAGGACACATTAGAGAGGATAAACATCTGGAGTGTTAGGACACATCAGAGAGGGTAAACATCTGGAGTGTTAGGACACATTAGAGAGGATAAACATCTGGAGTATTAGGACACATTAGAGAGGGTAAACATCTGGAGTGTTAGGACACATTAGAGAGGAAAAACATCGGGAGTGTTGGCCATTGAGGGAAAAAAAAAACATTGGAGTGTTAGGAACCTCGAGAGGGTAAACATTGGAGTGTTGGGACACATCAAAAGGGGAAAAATCTTGAGTGTTGGGACAATTAGAGGGGTAAACATCTGGAGTGTTTAGAACTTTACAGGGGGGTAAATATCTGGAGTTTAGGAAAATCGAGGGGGTAAACCGCAGTGTTGGACACATTAGAGAGGGTAAATATGGGGTTAGGACACATTAGAGGGGTAATTCTGGAGTTTTAAGGCCATTAAAAAGGATAAACTCGGAGTGTTGGGCACATTAGAGGGGTTTAAAAATTGGAGTGTTAGGACACATCGAGAGGGTAAACACTGGAGTGTTGGGAATTAAAAGGGGGAAAAATCTGGATGTTAGGACACATTAAGGGGAAAATATTGGAGTTTGGGCACTTTAAGGAGGGAAAAACATTGGGTTTTTTAGGCAATTAGAGAGGGAAAATATCGGAGTGTTAGGCACATTAGAGGGGGAAAAATATTGAGTGTTAGGAAAATCAGGGGGTAAACTTCTGGATTTTGGGGGCACTTTAAGAGGAAAAACATCTAGAGTTTTGGGGACACATCAGGGTAAAATCATGTTAACTGAAGAAGATCCTGCAATATTTCATATTCTATTTCCGGAAGGTTTCGCCTACAAGCAGGTTCCCTCGTCTTAAAAGGGGTGGCGAAAAGCTAAAGAAGTTTAAAAAACCCTGAGTGTTCAGTCTCTCAGCACTGGTAAAAAAGTTCAATTTTGTGCGGCGCGTTCAATGAACAACTGCTTAAATCGAGATTAAAGCACCAATCTTTCTGCTGCTTCGATTTTGTCATTTCCGTTTAAACTAAGAAGCCTGTGCGCAGGCGAGCGTTTTGATAAAATGGGTTAGTAATGTATGTTTTGTTGCGTTAATATAGAGGCAAGAGAGGGAGGGTGGTCTACTCACTCTTGGAATGTGAATTTTTCATTTCGGTGGTTGGGGAAACACGAGAAAACTTGGTCAGGAAGTGACACGCCCCCTCTTGTCTATTACAAACAACTTAGGTTTTTTAAAGTTTATTAATCACCCGGCTGCTCTAAGTTACCTTGTGTAAAGGCAACCTTATAAATTTGTTTTCTTCCTGTGTGTGTGTGTGTGTGTGTGTGTGTGTGTGTGTGTGGTGTGTGTGTGTGTGTGTGTGTGTGTGTGTGTGTGTGTGTCTGTGTATTTACTAACGTGTTGAAAGTGTACAAGACAAGAGTGACTACCACACACAGTGGCAGGTGTTGTGTGCGTGGAAAACAAACTGCATTACAAGCTCTCTTAAACGGTGTATCAAGAATAATTTTTTATATATCTACTGAAATGGGCTCTGCAGTTTAGGCTAATTCTGATGTCTAAGCTGTTGCAGATCAACATGCAATGAGCTTAATCTCCACGCCTTGTTATATTATAAGAGTTAAGGAATTTTGAGTCCAGTGAATAACCAAAGTGTAATGAACACTTGTCAGTGTAATAACCCAGATGGAAAGAGAAACTCATGAGAGGAATTGAGCTGTATATTTTGACCCCTTTCTGGGATCCTCTTCATCTGCTGAAGAGGATCCTAGAAGGGGGTTGAAATATACAGATCAATCAGTTTCCTGAGTTTCTGTTTCCATCTGGATTATTACTGAGCTCTGAGCCTGTTGTTTAAGATATTCTGATCCTGATCATGTTCTTAGTTCAATGTCTCTACGGTATGTTACTGAACATGCAGCCAAGGTTATATACTAGCTAATAAAACTATATTTATATAGAAACATTGCTCTAATATATCTATTGAATAAATCTAGATTTATTCTATACTATTGGATCTAGTACTAAAAATTCTCTGAGGCATATTTACTGGTAAATTTTTGATGAAGTCAAAGATTCTACTGATGACTGCTGGACATCAGTTATATTTATTTACAAAATTTGAGAAGTTATCAAGTTAGCTTTACAAAGCTCCATTCTTTTGTAAATAAACAAATGTTTATAATCAGTCATCTTTGCTCCTTGTAAGTCTCTTACTATACTAAATATTTCAAGCAAAAACCTTATGTGTCAATACTTTTAAAAGCTCTATAAATGACATTCACTTTACAATCCCCTCAGAGCTCTATGTCTATGCATTTGCTACAGAATAAATGATATGGTGATACCGACAAGATGTGCAAAAAAGACACTTGTGTACAGTTCAAAACATGTTTTACAGGAAATGTTTCACCACGAGTGGTTTCTGCAGCTTTATGTTAAATAAAAGCACACAAATGTAACTAATGTGACATTTTATAGTGGCAACGTTTCGCCCTCCAGATTTGTCAAGCCGTTACATGTAACGGCTTGACAAAGCTCCTGGAGAGCGAAACGTTGTCACAATAAAATGTCGTATTAGTTGCATTTGCGTCCTTTTACTTAACAGACCTAAACATTAGGACTGAAGAAGCTCGTGGCCAAATGTTTCCCGTAATAACTGCCCTCAACCGTACAAAAGTCTCTCCCTCCGTATTTCCTACAAAATTTCCTACACTAGAGAGAAGTCTCACTGAGAGAGCAAGGTGAGTAATACTACTTACATCTTAGGGATCTGGATTTTGTCTCCTTCTGTGTGTCTTGCGAAATCGTGCCACGATCTTGAAGGTCTTTGGGAGGTGGGTGAGGTGCCGGCCGGGGCTCGCAGGTCAGTGCCCATCAGAGACACAGGCTGCACTATGTCTTCATAACCAAAGGTCTGCGGAAGGGAGAGAGATGGTGGTGAGAGGGAGAGGGATTTAATACGTTGACGAATTAGACACATGTGCAACATCTGGGTATCTTTATTGCAGACGTTTCGCCATCCAGTGACTTTATCAATGCAAATTCAAGGACATTATGGGAAGACAGTAGAACTATATGCAAGAGATAGGGTAATCAGTCCCTCAGACTTGGAGATGGTGAAGAGCACCGTAGTCTTGAGGAACCTGAAGTACGGGTATGAAGCTTGGCGCTTATATACTTATATGCAAGTATATACTTATACACAAGTATATACTTATATACAAGTATGAAGGCAAGGGCACATACTGCTTACTAAGCTTCCAAAGGGACAACGTTTCGCTCTACATAAAGCTTTGCATTATTGTTATAATCATGGGGAGCGCTAAACCCGTAGGAATATACAGCGCATGTGGGGGAACTTAAGGTATTCAGATTCGATTCAGGGAACCCGAGCACAGATCCAATTCCCTAGATCAAGAGCCCCTCACCAGCATCAAGGAATCTCCCTTGAGGGAATTCGGTCACCAAGGATACGAACCTCTCGTGGAAGGTCGTAATACACAAATTATATGACATTATTAAGATACACGGCAGCATTGAGGTACAAATTTATGAGAAATATTACTGTGCAAATCACTTGTTCATAGTCCTTACACAAAATTTCAAGTCTAAAGGATAAATTTATGGCACAAAGTCATGGTTTGCAAATGCTGAAATCAAAAAAGGCCAGGGGGGGTACAAAAGAGGGTGGGGGGGGGTGGGAAGGCGGGGAGGGGAAAACAGAGATTGTGTTAGTAAGGAACAATATGCACGGAACAAGATGTGAAGAACATAGTTTCTGTTGCTGTTACGCCAGACATAGTATGGGCCAACAGGCCTGCTGCAGTGTTCCTCCTTTCTTATGTTCTTATGTTATGTTGGAAACAACGCACTCCATGAAAAAAATAGTTATAATCATAACCATAATTTTTACAGGTGTGGACCGGTAAGCCAGCGCAAGGCCTAAGGCCTATAACCAAGACCCGCATCAGAAAACATTCTCCTGTTTCCTGACAAACCTTACCTAGCCTAGCACAATATGAGGCAAATTCAATCTCGCTGTGCTCAGTGAAGGTGCAGTGTGTTAAGACTGAACAAATGTAAATATATAGAATTTGCTTCAGTACGTACCTGAGGTATTGAAACAAATTCTTCGGTAGCTTTAGGAACAGGTTGCACAAATACGTGGGTGGTTTTGATAAGGGCCTGCCTTGTGTGGGCCAGTAGTCCTACTACAGTGTAAGGAATCATACACAACTCACCCAGTATTTACAAAACTCGTCAATACATTACTAATCGCCTCTTGAATTCTTAGACAACGCCTAAGTCTCTGACACACCGCATAGGTACATCGTGTAAGATGCCACAGAGGTGCGTTAAATAAGAAGCACCAGTGAAAACATCTCAGTGGTTCACTCACCCACGTAGTTAATAAGAGAAAAGCACCAGGAAAACCAATTCTCAGTGTTCACTCACCCACCGTTAGTTAAAAAAGAAGAAGCACCAGTGAAAACATCTCCAGTGGTTTCAATCACCCACGTAGTTAAAAAAAGAAGAAAGGCACCAGTGAAAACATCTCAGTGGTTCACTCACCCACGTAGTTAAAAAAGAAGAAGCACCAGTGAAAACATCTCACTGGTTCACTCACCCACGTAGTTAAAAAAGAAGAAGCACCAGTGAAAACATCTCAGTGGTCACTCACCCACGTAGTTAAAAGAAGAAGCACCAGTGAAAACATCTCAGTGGTTCACTCACCCACGTAGTTAAAAAAGAAGAAGCACCAGTGAAAACATCTCAGTGGTTCACTCACCCACGTAGTTAAAAAAGAAGAAGCACCAGTGAAAACATCTCAGTGGTTCACTCACCCACGTAGTTAAAAAAGAAGAAGCACCAGTGAAAAACATCCTAAGTGGTCACTACACACGTAGTTAAAAAAGAAGAAGCACCAGTGAAAACATCTCAGTGGTTCACTCACCCACGTAGTAATAAAGCAGGAAGAGAAAGCAACGATGAATGCCAAGTCAATAAAGAATTACTACCACGCACATTTGACGTAAATTGGCCAAGGATGAGACATAGAACATGCAAGAAAGGCAACTTCAGGAGTTATTGGGTAGTTGAAGGAGCCTTTGTATGTAAGCTAAGATTTAGTACATATTACACAGACAAGGTATTTATAAAGTTTGTGTGTGTGTCTTCTACATCTACAAGGTAAACATTACCTGGACACCACAACAACGGAAATATTAAAATTGAAGGTAAAATGTATTGAAATATTAAATACATATTCTTTATATATATAATATATTTATATAAGTTATATATATATATATTTATATATTATATATATATATATATATATATATATATTATATATATATATATATATATTATATATATTTATATAGAGAGAGTGATGAGAAGAGAGATGAGAGAGAGAGAAAGAAAGTGGAGAGAGATATAATAAAAATATCATAACTCAAAAAAAATCTCATTCTACCGTTCTCATAAATCTCATGATTATTTTGGTGAACAATTTCCTAGTATACAACTTATACAAACGATAACCCAAATATATAAATATATATATATATATATTTATATATATATATATATATATATATATATATATATAGAGTTTATATATACTTATAATATTACATGCCTTATATCTCTCATACATGACCTAATATATATAAATTTTAGAATCTTACATCCCTCCTCCAGATAACTTATTTATAAGTGATTATTTTCACTATGAGTTTGATTATGAAGAGCTCAAAGTAACGGAGATATTGGGTATCCCCTTCCCTGAGTACCGGAGTCTGAGCAGATGTAGATGAGGATGTGAGGGCTGTGGCTGAGGGGTGGAGGGTTGTGGCTGGAGGGTGGAGCTGTGGCTGTGGGTGGAGGGTGTGTATGCTGAGGGGTGGAGGGTGTGGCTGAGGGTGGAGGTGTTGGCTGAGGGTGGAGGGTGTGTCTGAGGGTGGAGGGTGGTCTGAGAGTGGAGGCTGTGGCTGAGGGTGGAAGGAGAGGGGAGTGTTTGAGGGGTGGAGGGAGTGTTTGATGATGAGGGAAGTGTTTGAGATGCGGGAGGTTTGAGGGTGGAGGAGAGTGTGAGGGTGGAGGGAGTGTATGTGAGTGTCTGTGTGTGGAAGGGAGTGCTGAGGGTGAGGGAGTGTTTGAGGGTGGCGGGGAGTGTTTGAAGGTTGGAGGCGAGGTGTTGAGGGTGGAGGGGAGTGTTGATGATGGATGGAAGGTGTTTGAGTGTAGAGGGAGAGGCAGTGACTGAGGGTGGATGGGAGGTGTTTGATGATGAGAAGTGTTTGAGGGTGGTGGAGGGGGAGTCTGGAGGGTTACCTGGTTACCTGGAGGTTAATTCGGGGATCAAAAACGCCCCCGCGGCACGGTCATGAACCAGCCTCCGATGGATCAGGGCCTGATCAACTAGGCTGTTACTGCTGGCCGCACGCAGTCCGACGTACGAGCCACAGCCCGGGCTGATCCGGGCAACGACTTTAGGTATCTGTCCTAGCCTCTCTCTTGAAGGCAGCCTAGGGGTTTTATTGGCAATTCCATAATGCTATGGATGGAGGGATGTTGAAACTGTTTTGGGCCCCGGGACACTTATGGTGTTTTCTCTTAGTGTAACAAAATGGCGCGCCCATTACTTTTTATGGCGGCATTTTGCATTCGCCTGCCCAATCTTTTACTTCGTAAGGGGTGATTTCTTTGTTGCAGATTTGGGACCATTCCTTCCAAGATTTTCAAGTGTAGATTAGGAATATATCTCTCCCTCCTGCGTTCCAATCGAGTTCAAGTCAAGTGCTTCCAAGCGTTCCCAGTAGTTAAGGTGCTTGACAGAACTTATACGTGCAGTAAAGGATCTCTGTACACTCTCTAGTATCTGCGATTGCACCTGCTTTGATGAGATGTTAATGTACATCAGTTATTCCAGACTAGAGGAGAACAAGTGATTTGAAAGGATCCATCATGGGCTTGGCATCTCTCGTTTTGAAAGTTCTCATTATCCATCCTATCATTTTCTTTGCACGTGCGATCGTGGCACTGTTGTGATCCTTGAAAGTGAGATCCTCAGACATTACTACTCCCAGGTCCCTTACATTATTTTTCCGCTCTATTGTATGGCCGGAGTCAGTAGTATACTCTATTCTAGTTATTATCTCCTCCAGTTTTCCATAACGGAGTAGTTGGAATTTGTCCTGGAGGGAGTGTTTGATGATGGAGGAAGTGTTTGAGGATGGCGGGAGTGTTTGAGGGTGGAGGGAGTGTTTGAGGGTGGAGGGAGTGTCTGAGGGTGGAGGGAGTGTCTGAGGGGTGGAGGGAGTGGGGGTTTGAGGGGGGCGGGAGTGCTTGAGGGTTGTAGGGGGAGTGTTGAGGGTGGAGGGAAGTGCTTGATGATGAGGAAGTGTTTGAGGGTTGGAGGGAGCTGTTTGAGGGTGGGCGGGAGTGGTTTTGAGGGTGAGGGAGTGTGGGAGTGTTTGAGGGTTGGATGGATTGCTTGATGTGGAGGAGTGTTTGAGGGTGTGAGGGAGGTTTAAGGGTGGCGGGAGTGTTTGAGGGTTGGAGGGAGGTGTTGAGGGTGGAGGGAGTGTTTGATGATGGAAGGGAAAGTGTTTGAGGGAGCGGGAGGTGCTTGAGGGTGGAGGGAGTGTTTGAGGTTGGTGGGGAGTGATGTGTTTGAGGGGTGGCGGGAAGTGCTTGATGGTGGAGGGAGTGTTTTGAGGGTGGAGGGCTGTGCGTTTGAGGGTGTGAGGGAAACAGTAAGTGCTGATGATGGAGGAAGTATTTGAGGGTGGCGGTGAGTGTTTGAGGGTGGAGGGAGTGTTTGAGGGTGGAGGGGAGTGTTTGAGGGTGGCGGGGAGTGCTTGATGGTGGAGGGAGTGTTTGAGGGTGGAGGGAGTAGTGTCTGAG